ATATTTTACTCTGAGGGGTATGCAATTTTTCCCCCCCCCCCCCACAAATCTTGGGCTTTGATCTCACAATTCCTTCCAAACATTGCTACCAAATTGTGATGTGATAAAGGAAAGATGTTTTGGAGTAACTGTATTAATTTAATGTTAATGTTAATTACTGTTAGAGCTTTAATTTTTGTTCCAAGAAAACTTACTTTTGCTAATGTGGCCCTGAGAATTCCATTTTGATATGGGGAGAAGAGTTGTATACTTTGTAGACATAGAAAAGAATTACACTGTGTGCATTTATAGATATGGAAATCATTCCCATATACAAGTCCTCTTCCTATTACTAGCCATCTGCAGCTTGAAGTGATCACGTTGAGGAAGATCTATGCCAAGTATCTTTTGCTGTACCCGAAGCTCAAATACTGTATTTATAATCTAGAAGCATGTAAATCAGAAAAATAAGGAAGAGCTGTAGCTGAAATTAAATAATTTGAAGTGCAAAACAGGCCAATGTTAATTTTGATATCTTGATATGGATTAGCAGAAACTCTAGCTTATTAGAGTTAGCAGAAACCACTAACTTAACTGAAGTTGATAGACACACATATCTTTCACCTGCATTGTGCTGTCAGAAGGAGTCATGGTAGGGACAGGAGACTATCTTCTAAGAAAGCTTGTCCTTTGAACCTGCTTTTCTGATTGCAGAATCTCTGAAGCTTCCAATGTATAGTAGAGTTACCTGAAATGCACATTTGAAACCACCACTCTAGATATTTTTTATAGATCTAGATCTAGTTAATAGAACTACTTGCTCTATTAACTGCATATAGAGTTTAAACCAATGAACTAAGAGATTCCTCTCTCTCTTCCCTAACCTACAACCTCCATGCATGCCCAAATGTCTTCTCATTACTGAGCTTTCACACCAGCTCATTATTATCATTACATGATCATTAATTATATTCAAAATAAAATGATCCCAAATGACTTTAGGAAAGGAAAATCCTATTAAGATTCTGTTATTACTTACTTTGCTTTCTCTGCAAAAGAAAAAAAAAAGAATAGGGTTTAATTATCTGCTTTTAGCTAACAAAACCCTAATGTCAGGAAGCCAGCATCTTTTGGAAAAATGTAATGGGTTTGCTTTGGTTTATTAGTCTTTTCTGAAAGTGAATGGCAATATCACACCAGAACTCTTTGCATTTCAAGATGTGTGCTTCAATTTTATGGTGGATGATTACAAGCTGATTGCTAATCCTCAGACATTGGGATAAGCTGTATAAGTGCCCAACAAATTTCCCCTTTTAATGATTTCCAATGTGATAAATTCACAAAAATTTTAAAAGTTAACTTAAGTATGCTCTTTTAGCAGGGATGGGCATTGAGTCTGAGGCTAGAAATGTGCCTTCTGAAGGGCCACAGGAAACTGGAATTATACAATCATTTCTGTTCCATGTCTCTCTTTTTAGAATAAATAAAGTACAAAAGTATTGCAAAATCATGCCCCCATTTTTCAGCACTTTAAGGCTATTGGGAACAGGTTGGATTTTTAAAAGCAACAAAAGTAGCTGGCCTCCCCTGAGATCTGCATCCATTCCCACTCATGATTTTGAAGGAAAGGAAAAAGGAAAGGGGGGGGGGACAGAGAAATAAAGAAGTACTGGCAAAATTCAGTCATAATGGGTACTAGAAATTGTCAAATGGGTTCATGGGCTACAAACTGCCCATTTCCACTCTGTAATCCTTTTCTGACATTCTGCTGAATGTGTAGAGGACTTCAAATTGGGTCAAGGATAGGGCTCTCTGTGTAGACCCAGCCTTTCTCTCCCCATCTCCATAAATATTGACACAAACACAAATACAGTTCTCTATGTGGTCTGGAATCGTGCTTTATTGGTGTCCTGGATCACATGGAGAGTTGTTTCTAAACTCAAGCACTCATTTCTATAGTTCTCCTTTAGAAATCTGACTGAATGGCATGAAGTCAAGAAGAAAAATGTGCTGGGCTAATTCCTACCTGATTTGAAGCCTTATACATGTTTACATGAATGCCTGAAGAGTGCTTATATTATTATTACATGTTGTAATGCCTGCAACAGGTCATAGAATGAAACAGTATTTACACATGTTCCAATCTTTGATTTATCTAACTTTGTGTATCTTCATCCAAGACTCCTGTTTCCAAGGCTTAACTCCTTATGGACTTAAATAGCTTTACAAGTTCTACTTTCTACTGTATGTGGACCACTTCATAACATTTTAGTAATCAATGTGGAAATCATATCTGTGCCTTTAAAAGTAGAGAAGTGCTAATTTTTGATAGCTCATCATTGTCTGATTAGGAATAGGCCACAATGGGTGGCATGAGGATGAAAAGTGGGTCAAGGTAAATTATGCATATAGATAGGGCTAGAGTTAATTAGTTAGTGGCCATTCTGTGATGGAATGGTGTTATGAAGGCCACGCTCAGGGAGATAAGTATTTCCTTAGCCCTCAACAGAAGCGTGGGAAGTTTAAGAAGATGAGGCTGGCACCACCCTAAGGAATTCAGGGTATTGTGGCTTGCTGGCTTGGGAACTTAGGTTCAGTCTGGAAAGATTTCTGTATTGAGGTGAAGCTAATAAATGCAACAGAACTGTACTGCACTGTCTCGTGAAGTTCTTTGGGCTGAACCTGACACATTCAAGTCCACTGCAAATTTCCATTGATGTTCATCCATTGCTTGAACATCATGAAGCATGCAGAGATAAGCTGTTAGCAAGTGAATGCAAACATTTGTGGAGTAAGTGCATGAAAATACAGTGGGTAAAATAATTGGTAGAAAAGGTTAAACACAAAGCAACTTAAATTACAATGTTTATTGACTGTATGCCTTTTCCTGGGCCAAATTATTTGTTTACATGCTTGCCTTATCGAAAGGCACTTGCTTTGCAGACTGATTATAGCAGCACAGTTGATAGAATTCCAACATACTAGTGGAGATATATCTGTGATGGAGAGAACTGTTGGATAGAACATGATTTAAAGGGTTGAACTAAGAGGCTTTGCGCTATACATTTCAGAAATGCCGATGTTTCAGTATTCCTGATTTTCCTTCTTTGTTGGCATATTTTCCAACATAAGATTTTTTTAAAAGTATTTTGCAATTTATGAATGGGAGTGTGAGGACCAAACTAGATGAAACAGTAAGAGATAAAGCTCACTGATCATGGATTTATTTTATCTCAAAACCCCCTTATAATCTGAAACAGGCTGTATTGGGAGGCATGGGCAGTAGGCAAAAATGGGGCCATGGAAATATTAACATCTATTTTCCTTGTTTTATCTCTCAAGTCCTTCCTCAACCTGACCGCTTCAG